TCAATAACATTAATCAATAACATTAATCAGGCAGTAATGCAGTACGTTCAGTTCACGTTCGCCCAAAATATGAACGAGTTCATGAACTTTCGTTCAATGAACGCGTTCAGGCACAACACTGTTTATAGTCAACTCCCACTAGGTACTTAGACGCATTGTTAATTGTTAATATTGTTGATTGTATATACCGAGATCCTTATCTTATTTTATTCTATCCTAATTATATTTCTGTCATATTTTACACTGTATATATGGGAAGGGTGTAATTTTACTGTGTGGTTTGTAATTTTATTTATAATATTCTTTGTTATTATATTTCATTTTGCTCTATTGTACTTTCAATCCTATTTTTCTCTCTTCTGTAAACTGTTGCACTGCAAGAGAGATTAACTTTTGCTTCTCTATATTTTCTGTCATTGCAGAATTTCTCTTTTACATATTTTTTTTCCCTTTGTATGTGTTTTGTGATTTTTGTATGATGACCTTAAATATGTGTTTGCTAGCCTTATTTTGACGTTTCCAGTCCTTTTTGTATTTGCTTAACATTTGCACTTCTTGGCAACTAATCTATATATGTACAGTTAAGATGTACAGAAATTAAAATAGATGCATGCATGTATAAATGCACTAACATTTCAAATTCTATAAAATTCAAAATGATCTTTTACCCAAAATAAAAATCAAATCACCCAAAGCACAACAGAAACATGCCTAAACAGGACAATCTACTGAAAGGCTGGGCAAGCATTCATTAGACAAGATATTTTTTAGTTACCATGGTAACCATTCTAACTGCGGAGGAGCTGCTGAAATCTACAAAAATCTAAATAGTTATTGTGAAGATTACCATCGTTAACATGAGATAAAATATTGAAAGAAACTTTTATTTATTAGAAGTTCATTTAAATCTAAATCTACCAGGTGTATTTAAATAATTTTGGGCTTATCATTATGAAAGATTTAAAATTGTGAATATTGTTCTGCAGAAATTATTATAAAGCTCACTGATTTATGTAAAGGATACTGGAAAGAAAATCTGACTTTTTTTTATGCTTTCAAGTCCCAATAGTTAAGTGGTCGGCAAAAGTACAAGTAGTGCAGTGGTATGATTGATGGCATACTTCACATTGTACTTTTCACAATTTCAAGGGCCTTTTATATAACTCGATAAAAGAGTTGACCTAAATCGCCCACTTTCTGTCAACTATCTTTGTGATCAGCTCTAAATGGGAAGATTATGTACAGATTCACCTATAATATTCAGCCTTTTGCTCAGTTTTTCAGCATTGGTGGAGCAGTTTAAAATCTTATCAGATGCCATATGGAGAATGAGATAAAATCCATCCTTTTTCATGCGCATTTTTAACTCAGGCTTTCATCTAAGGTGCTTTGTTATCATAGAATAGCTCAATAAAGCCTCAAGCAGTCTTTAGCCAAGCTTTTACCAGACACAGCCTTGGGTTGTGTTCTTTTCTGTCCCTCTCTCTGGACTGAACCTCCCAATTGTCAAAATTTCTGCCTGCCAAAAGGTAAGCAAAAATAAGGTTGAGTTTTTATGATTCCCTATCTTGTAAAATGTGTACAACGTGTATCCCTCTCTCCATGTGAAGAGCAAAACTATACTGTGTGCATACTGATGGAGCTTCATAGAAGTTTCTGAGCCCTGGTGGTTAATTGATTTTTTGATTAGCTGTAATTGTCACTGATTACATCAGACTGAAGAGGCCCCTTGAGAGGGGGACTTGAGTCATATTCCACTCCACGCAGTCCTTCACAAACAATTCTTTCATTTGCAGGTATCCCTTCCCAACTGTATTCAGCAGCTGCAGCAAGAAGGATCTGATGGCGAGTTTTGAAAAGGGAGTTGGCATGTGCCTGTTTAACATGCCAGAACTCAAAGTACTCTACGGTGGGCAGAAATGCGGCAACGGCTATGTTGAGGAGGGAGAGGAGTGCGACTGTGGAGAAGTAGAGGTGAGGGTCACAATAAAGATATCATCTTGCATTCATAATTCGCATAATGGCTTAACAAACTTTAATGAAACATTAGAAGGTGGTTGGAACCATGTCAGGAACAAGCAAAGCCCTAAAGTCAAAACTGTTTAAGATCACTTTTAATAAAAACACATTCTATAAAAATATGAGTGGGAATTTATTCAGTCTGTGTGCTGAGCTGCCTGTGATGGATATCATAACAGAAACTACACCCGACAGCTTCACCCTGTAATAATTGCAGTAGATCTACATTAGCATGCACTTATGCTGGTAAAGATTCTCAGTCATTCAGGTCATAGTCATTCCAAAAAAGTAAAAAAAAAACAATCCAAAAGACACGCAGCAGAACATAACATGTGAGAAGATTAAACGCAAAAATATTCTCATCCCATATGTTGCTGGAGTCTCTGAAAAACTCAAGAGGATTTTCTCCAAACACAAAATCCCAGTACATTTCAAACAACACCAGTGCATCCTAAGGACAAAACCCCCAGACCTAATATGAGCGGAGTGGTGCATGCAGTTCAGTGCAGTGAGGAATGCTCTGATCTTTATATTGGAGAAACCAAACAACTTCTCCACAGATGCATGACCCAACACAAAAGAGCAAGCTCCTTGGGACAAGACTCTGCCCTCCATCTACACCTAATGGACAAAGGACATTCTTTTGAGGACCCGAATGTTCACATTTTGTTCAAAGAAGACAGGTGGTTTGAGAGTGGCGTGGAGGAAGCCATCTGTGTTACGAAAGAAAAACCAACCTTAAACAGAGGGGGTGGACTCAGATTTCAGCTTTTAAAAGTTTACAATGCTGCAATTGAGTTGATCCCTTCCCACTGTCATCTTCATCCCAACCTCTTTGCAGGGGAGTAGAAGACCTCGCCAAATTTCCGCCAGGCCAACAATTCCCTTTAACGACACCCCTTTCAGAGACATAGACAGGCATCGGGCATTGCAGGCTAACAAAAGAATCCAAAAAAAAAAACTTTTCAAAGGGGTGGACCTGTTCGTTTATTTCAATTTGCATGTTTTCTAAAGGCTTTGTTGGGCTACTGTATAAGAGCCTCAAACTCAACGCTATTTCTAACATTTTGAATTGAAAAAGCTTCCTGGATGGGAAGCTAAAAGTCGTGGATTGTTTTTTATCTTTTTTGGAAGTGGGCACATATGTCTTTTGCTAAATGTTGCAGCTTCATGAAACAAAAAACGTTTGCTTTAATAGTTGGTAATTATATCTTCAGCCCAGTGCTCTCTCTACATCGAGTTAAGTTATGTTTTTCGTCATGCATAAAGTGGAACTTTACCCAGTATAAAATCCTAACTCTGTTTAATAAAAAGTTTTAAAAATGCCTCTGAAATGAGCAGTATGCAAGACACACGGGTCAAGTTTGGGGATGAGCGGAGAGGGTTAAACGGGGTGTGGTCAGAATGAGGGAAAGCGGCGCTGTGCTTTAAATAAATAAATCTAAGTATCTCAATTCTGAACAATAGGTGATCACTTGAAAAGGTGATCAGTGCTCACAGGGCTCAAAATGGCAGTTCTGGAAAACTATCACCTTGGAGATTTATAACTATGGTCGAGGTAAATCAAATGCACCATTATGTTCAAACATGAAGCACTGACTTCCTCTTAACATAACAGCAGACAGATGGCATTCATATTCATTCATGAGTGCCACGGATGGGGATCCACATCCAGTTATTTTGTCCCGAGCCCAGCCAAGGCTGTCCGGATATATGCAATCAATAAAACATTTCAATAGACAATCAGATATATTTACCTATGGTAGGAGGTCAGAATTACAAGAAAAATGTAAAGTGAACATCTACTTTGAGCAGTCAGACATGTAGGAGGCATTGTGATGGTCCAGTGATGGTACATTTTCCCTTAAGTACCGGATCAACTTGAACCCTTTAGTTTGCTCTCCACCAGCAAATCATAGAGGAAAATGTCAGGTCACCAGTTTGCAATCTTAAGAATGGTTGAGCTGTTGAGCAGAATGGTAATCCCAAATACACAAACATATCCATCTCCTATTGGCTCAGTGTCTGGCATTGAACGTGGTTGAATGAAGCTAGGTTATCTTCATAGGTGTGTAAAATCGTAATTGGCAGCTTTGTTTGTGTCAAGGTGGAACTTTTTCGAGAAGGATTGTGTTAATTTGGATTTGCCTATTTACCATAATGAAATACATTTTCAACTACCTTTATAAATTTATTCTGGGTTTTTTTTTTTTTTTTGGGTCTCATTGAAATTTTGTAATGGTAGTTTGAAACCTTTAAGTGTGAAAAGGTTTTTAAAAAAATGAAGTGGGAATAAAGAGTGTGAGGTTTTTTGCTGTCTATAATTTATCCTCCATCACTTAGAGGGCAGATTATGAAAGCGTGACTAAACTCGGCTCTCCTGAACTAGTAGCTGTTTTAAACTGCAAACACGTTTTTCAGAAGGCTAGGTTAAAGATAGGAATGGAAATGTATTTTGAAATGGATCTTCTTTTGCACCCATTTAATAATGGTTGCAAATAATGCTAACTATTGCAGCATGCTGATGAAGGTTCTCAGTCATCCAGGTCATAGTCATTCCGTAAAAATTCAAAAAAATATCCACTGGACTTGGTTTTCAAGTATTGCAGCTGCTGGAAGGAAACAAATAATACAATTAGCATAAGCAGAAACATAAAGAAAACATCAATTATGTTTTGGAAGGATGTTATGAATTATGTAACCACCGAATGAAAGAAGGCCTCAGTGTTTGAGGTTTATTTCTATCTATATTTTTCTAGGCCGTTTGGACTTCAGCCAAGGTTGAGCTGAAAGTGTCCTTGTCTTTCAAAACAAAGAACCAAAACCTCAGTGTCTTTAGACAAATGCAACATCCAAACTCTGTCAAGAGCGTTGCGCCAAAATAAGGCCAGAGCTGATGGATCAGGCAGCACCTCGCTAACTATTAAAAACCCTCATTATAAAACCTTGGTTATTTTTCTCACAATCAGACTCCTCTGCCTCTTTTGGCCTTGGGGACCCTGGGAGAGGCCCCCTTTTATGGTTTGTTCAGCCTGAATGGAGATCTGGAAGCTCCATCATGTTCATATTGTCCCCTGCCAGCTTCATCTATCCAGTTCTTTCTGACTCTTATGGCACTCACATGAACACTTCACTTAGACTATAATAGCAAAAGGGAAATAGCTGGTCCTCTGGGGTCTAGTCAACTGGCCTCTGGGTGAGATCATCCAATTTAGCTCAGAATTATTCCTACTCCTGCCAAATTTTGATTTAAAGTGAATTTTACTGACCAATAACCTTCCTTTGACTGGAAATTACATAAACATATGACATTGAAGGCTAAGATGTAGCATTGCAATATTTGGAATGATTACAGATTTCTATTCTCTCTCAGGAATTAATAGCAGATTAGATTTGGTATCATGACATTCTCTAACAATCTGTGTTTTTTTTCTCCTCAAGGTTCCTTCCATTTTACTCTTTGATTACAATCTGTATGTTTCTTAAATTTTAGAATAATATTTTTTTATATTAAATTCAGAACTTAAAATTAAATTAGATTTGGTTTTGTACTTTATGGACCACTCCAAGTTATGGATATTGCTCTCTGTTGACTCATGATTTTATCTGAGTTTAACATTTGGTCAAATTTAAAGACTAGGTCAACTGAGATATATATATATATATATATATATATATATATATATATATATATATATATATATATATATATATATATGTATATATGTATATGTTGTCAAATTTCAGAGACCTCTATTCCTTTACAAAAGATGGTCATCTCTTCACTCCTGTATGTTTGTTTGGTATGATTGAAATGCATAACAAGGATGCAAAAATGCTGATTTCAAATGTTAATTCTATCAACTATTAGTGGCACGTTCTTTTGTCAAAAGAATGGGGTTCGAATCCGGCCTGTGGTCCTTTCCTGCATGTCTCTCCCCCTCTCTCATACCCCCAGCCTAATGTCCATAAAGACGAGTGTGATTAAAAATAAAAGAAAAACTAAAAATAAAAAACATTGCTGATTATCTCTGCATTTTTGCCAATTTGATACATCTTGATATTTCTGAAATATTAAAAATACATAAGCATTAGACTTAAATTATACTATTCTGTCAATTATTCAAGTGATTCAGTGTTTAGAGTTGACAATGCGATTTAAAGCAGAGGGAGTGAGAAGCATAGAAAACAAGTTTTATTTGAAAGAAATTAATCTAGCTGATGAAAATAGTTAAAATATGTGCATTTAGATGCATGTCTGAAAATAAACCCACTCTCTCCAGGGCAATATGTGTACATAAAAATCTATCTTCTTAAAATGGAAAAGTTTAGATATAATAGAATATGTATTTTATTGCCATTTATCGCTTTGATTATAATGTTATGCCATTAAATGCTGTATTTTTATGTCATTTAATCAAATAACTATCAGACTTTCATGTGGGTCAAACTATCTTTTGAACTTAAAACAATTGTAATCTGTTCAAACCAGTTTGCAATGCTAATCATTTGTAAGATTGTAAGATGCTAATCTCTCAATCCTTGTATAGAGTAGGGACTATATAGTGGACTTTATTGTGAACTCAGTTAACTGACCATTGGGAGAGATAATCACTATTTTTCGCTCCCCATTGTTCTTGTGACTCCGCCTCTCGGCATGGTGCCTGCACCATCTTTGTTATTTTTTTCAGCTGTGGGGTAGTGACAGCCCTTGGCGACAGCGGGCCGTTGTGGCAGCAAATCCATGATGTTTTGCAAGGAGAGCTCTCCTCCCAAAGCATTATCTGTTTGTCTAGTGACCATAGATGATCACTACTTTTCAAGGTGCATTGTGGGAAATTTTAGGTCCACTACTTTTTCATCCACTGTGACTACCCGTTCCGTCCCGGAAGCATGATCTGTACCAGCAGGTCCTTTGCGCATAAACAACCAGATATACTTCTGCGCCCTTGATTTTAATTAGTAAAAAATACCTAAATTACATTTTTCCCTCCTTAAAAATGGTGAGCGTACAAAACTATAATGTGTGATATGTTAATAATATATACCCTGATAATAATATATACCCTAAAACTCTGTTTTATCATTTTTCTGTACAGGAAATGGGATCCTACAGTACGCTACTTCCGGGAGCTAACTTTTTCGGCTTTGGATTTAAACATAAATCTAGTCTTTTTGAGTTTTATTTTTTCCTTTCGTGTTAACATTATGGTATATGGTGCGTAATCTAAAGAAAGAAATAACAAAAAAAATGCAGATAAACATGGTTTAATCATAATTTGCTGGACTACTCTGAGCATGATGATGACATCAGACAACCTGCTTAATGGAGAAAATGTAAAAAGCATCAAAATTGTCTCCGAAAAGTTATCAAAAATGTTTTAAAGATGTGTATTAGCTTTCTTTATTGATTTAGGGATAGAAATATTTACTTTTAGTACCATGATTTTTATGATGACTTGGATAAATATCTGCTTGTACATGCGCAAATGAGGCGATGGTACAGATTGTGCTTCCGGCACGTTTCAGGTTGTGACATCCACTAGATGTGCAGACTTAGACTTAGACTTAGAAAGATTTTATTTGTAATTTTGTTTACACAAGTGTAAAAAGACCCTCATCTAAAATGGAATAACCACTATATAATGCCTTTTATAGTGATTAGGGCTGACATTCAGACACAACTGAAATGACTCTTTTTAAAAGACTCTTCGGTCATGTAAATTGAATGTAATAAGCATACTGTATCAGGTAACACATGCTATATTACTGTTTCAACCCTTATTTAAATTACCGTTTTTTTACTTTATTAAAATACATTTTAAGTTTTGGGTTAGCGATCGTGTAGTAACTGTTAGCTTCTGTTGACACAATAGTAAAACACATGTTTGTTTTCCATCTCACATATCTTCTAAGTATGCCATAAATTAAAATGCTGCTCTTAACTGACCAGAGCAACTTTTACCACATATTTTCTTTTCCTCCAATATGGCTGAACCTCAAACAATAATCTGTTACACCTGTTTTTTACACTTGGCTTTTCTCTTTTTTTTTAAAGCCCTTTTAAAGCTGTCAATTCTTCAAGATACTAGAGTGTTAAGATGGGTGCTCTTTGTTTTACCTGTCAGTTTTGGTGGCGTTTTACGCTGAGATGAAATTACACACAGCTGGCTTCTGTTTTCTAATTAGGTGACCTCTAAAGGAAGATCGTTTAGGCTGCTGGATTTAAGCTAGACAGTTTGGAGTGGATAGGGCTGAATATTAAGAGAAGTAAGAACAATTGAAAGCAATTTAGGATTTTCCCTCTTTAGTTACTTTGCCTATCATAAAACAATTAAATAAGTACATTGAGGTTTGTGACTACTCTGACAAAATGTGAAAATGTTCAAGGAGCATGAATAGTTTTGCATTAATTAAGGGAATTCTGTCATCCATCTGCATTAACATGCAGTTAGGTACTGATTGGTGCTGTGTATGGGTCACAATAACCCCAACTTGGAACAGATGTTCCTCCTCAGTGCAATAAAAAATGTAACATGAAGTATAGGAGATTTGATAGAGATCTACTTCCCTTTACCCTGCAGAAACAAATGTCTGTATGTTTTGTCTTGATTACATTTTCTGTAAAAAAAAAAAAAAAGTAACTTTTCCGTGACTTTTTTGTGATTTTTTTTTTTTCAGTCTATGCAGTTAATACGCATTAATGTTTAATGGGAAATATACTTTTTCACTCAAATAAATCATTTACTCTTTTTTGTGATACCATTACAGCTGTCTGCACATATTACTCATTGGTTTAAGGCAGACTGTCTCTTTCTCTTCTCATGTGAAGTCCATCTCTAAGTTCTCAATTTCTTAGTTATTTCACGTAATTTTTAAAACAAGCTTTCATTTTTACATCCATAATAAAATATTGGTTGTTTTAGTGGAAAAAAAAAAATTGTTTTTTTAAATGTATTTTTGTACACTTTTTTATGATTGTTTTCTTGCAGTATATGGTTAATACTATAAGAGATGAAATTTAAATTAATGAACCAGAAAAGGTGGTTTCCTATCTCTGCCTATTTTATTTTATTGCCTTTGCACTACCTACTTATATTACGGTAACCTTTTTTAATTTTTTTTTTTGCTTTTTTAATTTTATTTACAGGAATGCATGAATCCTTGCTGCAATGCCACTACCTGCACTTTAAAAGGTGATGCTGTCTGTGCACATGGACACTGCTGCCAGGACTGCCAGGTAATTGTGTTCGGATTGAAGATATGTTCCAAAACATAATGCCAAGCATTACTTTATTCTTATTTATTTAAGCCATATATCATTGTGCTTGTTTTCTGCCTTTGTGTGCAGCTGAAACCAGCAGGAACACCATGCCGTGAACCCAGCAACTCCTGTGACCTGCCCGAGTTCTGCACAGGCTCCAGCCCTCACTGCCCTGCCAATGTCTACCTGCACGACGGCCACTCCTGCCACAATGTTGATGGCTATTGTTATAATGGCATTTGCCAGACCCACGAGCAGCAATGTATCACGCTATGGGGCCAAGGTTTGTTTCTAAGGGTTTGTAGAAGGCCTCCGCACAGGCCCAGTTTGATTGTTAAAGGTTCAAACATGGATGCAAGCCTTCAATGGTTTCTCATTGTATCTGTCAGGAGCCAAGCCAGCTCCAGGGATCTGCTTTGAAAGAGTCAACTCAGCAGGGGACCCTTATGGCAACTGTGGCAAGGATTCAAAAGGCTCCTTTGCAAAATGTGAAGCCAGGTGTGAAGCTGACGTTCCTGTAGAAATAAAATCATACCTTCAATTTTTATACACTGCTCAAAAAAATTAAAGGAACACTTTGAAAACACATCAGATCTCAATGGGGGGAAAAAATCATGCTGTTTATTTATACTGGTATGGACTGGGTGATGTGTTAGGAACAAAAGGATGCCACATCATTTGATGGAAATGAAAATTATCAACCTATAGAGGGCTGAATTCAAAGACACCCCAAAAATTACAGTGAAAAAATGATGCGGCAGGCTAGTCCATTTTGCTGGAATTTCATTGCAGCAACTCAAAATGTAATTTGTATGGCCCCGACATGTATGTATGCATGCCTGACAACGTCGGGGCATGGTCCTAATGAGACAGATCGCGTCCTGGGGTATCACTGAGCTCCTGGCTCCTGAGGTGCAACCTGGCAGCGTCAGATGGATCAAAACATAATGTCCCAGAGGTGTTCTATTTGATTTAGATCGGGCATTGTGGTGCACCAGGTGGAACCCAGGACCCACTGCACCAGCATAGGGTCTGACAATGGGTGCAAGGATTTCATCCCGATACCTAATGGCAGTCAGGGTGCCGTTGTCTAGCCTGTATAGGTCTGTGCGTCCCTCCATGGATATGCCTCCCCAGCTTCTCCAGACCCTTTCACGTCTGTCACATGTGCTCAGGGTGAACCTGTTGTCATCTGTGAAAAGCACAGGGCGCCAATGGTGGACTTGCCAATTCCGGAGTTCTGTGGCAAATGCCAGTCGAGCTCCATGGTGCCAGGCAGTGAACACAGGACCCACTAGCGGATGTTGGGCCTTCAGGCCACCCTCGTGAAGTATCTGATTGTTTGGTCAGAGACATTCACACCAGTGGCCTGCTGGAGGTAATTTTGTAGGGCTCTGGCAGTGCTCCTCCTGCTCCTCCTTGCACAAAGGAGCAGATACCGGTCCTGCTGATGGGTTGTAGACTTCTATGGCCCAGTCCAGCCCTCCGGGAGTAACTGCCTATCTCCTGGAATCTCCTCCATGCTCTTGAGATTGTGCAGGGAGACGCACCAAACTTTCTGGCAATGGCATGTATTGATGTCCCATCCTGGAGGAGTTGGACTGCCTGTGCAACCTCTGTAGGGTCCAGGTAGCGCCTAATGCTAACAGTAGTTACAGTGACCCTAGCCAAATGCAAAACTGGTGAAAAAGAGTCAGAAAAGATGAGGAGGGGAAAAAACGTCAGTGGCCTCCACCTGTAAAACCATTCTTGTTTTGATGGTCGTCTCATTGTTGCCCCTCTACTGCACCTGTTGTTAATTTCATTAACACCAAAGCAGCTGAAACTGATTAACAACCCCCTCTGCTACTTACCTCACCAAATCAATATCCCAGAAGTTTAATTAACTTGATGCTATACTCTGATTACAAAGTGTTCCTTTAATATTTTTTGAGTGGTGTATTTACAAGGATTTAGCACTGTGCTGCTTAAAGTGGATAGAGCAAGAAATACCCCTGAAACCTTTTGCAAGATTTAGTAGACTAATAGGAAAATAGTTTTGTTGCATTTATATAAGAGTTTCTTTTTTATTAAGTAAAGTAGCCTCTGGTTTACCAAGTATTACGTGTGGTGTTCCACAAGATTCTGTGTTATTTCCCAAACTTTTTTTTAATCATACATATAATAATAGTCTAATACTTAATATTATTTATCTTTGATGAAAAAATTAACTTCTGAATGTCATCAAAAACATAATGACCGTTTTATAGAAATTATTTACACAATTAAATCCGCCATCAAGTATAGCAAAGCAAACCTTTTAAAGTGTTTAATAAAATTAGGTCAGTCGTCATTTTTTTTTCTTTTTACTAAAACTGAATGAAACTCATTTTTTTTAGAGTGTTGATTAAATTATTCAATGACCCAAAAGTCCTTAAATATGTCATATCAAACAAGGCGAAATTTATGCAAATGTTCGAGGCTAATCCTAATCCCACCTCTTAGATTATATTTTAAATAAAGGTTTTAGTGACTTTAGTGATTTTGTTTTTGCTACTTATTATGCATGACATTGTGTTGGTCTGTAATGTAAAATTACTCATATTTTAGGGGCATTTTTTTCTTTACATCTTTTGCAGATACTTTTTTTTTAAGACATTCACAGATAACTCTTTAGAAGTGAAATTATCTGAAGGTATTTCTCTCTGTTGTCTGTTTTTCCCCCCTCTCTTCTTGATTGCCATTGATGTAGAGATGCTAAATGCGGCAAAATCCAGTGTCAAGGAGGAGCTAACCGCCCAGTTATTGGCACAAATGCCGTTTCCATTGAAACAAATATACCCCTTCAGGAAGGTGGAAGGATATTATGCAGAGGTACTCATGTCTACTTGGGCGATGACATGCCGGATCCGGGCCTGGTCCTGACAGGGACAAAATGCGGAGATGGAATGGTGAGCACGGTGTATGTTAAAGAGGACATTAAACTCACCCTGTTCAGATACACATAACTCTGCAATAAATTATATTAGAATTTAAGTTGGTTTAAAGGTGGGGATTTTATCCTCTTTACATCAGTTTTTTTTGTGGCAAGAAAAAGTATATAAGGAACCCACAGGATTGCTGAAAAGTTTGAGGACCAAATGTTTTTATTAGAGACATTATTTTTAATTAAAACATCATTCAATCTCTTGTTAATTTGAAAAACTATTGGCAAACACTTTAGCGTAATGGAAATAAGAAACAAGTGGGAGCATTTTGACTGAAGGAACATTGAAACAAGTTGAAAGAAAAACATGACACCACAAAGTTTCCACCACAATAATTCAGATGGTGGAGTAACACTAATATCTGATATCTATTTTACATGTTGGTAAAATAAGGCTTATATTATTCCAAAGCAATTTGAATGTCAGTTTCTAAGTTCATTGGAGTTTTATACATTTTCTATAATTTATTTTATTATTTTGGCAGTCGTTATTTACATTCTGTTAAAAGTTTGTCCCACCTCAGTTTGGTTGGCTTTAAAAACATTAGTAAATTAATCCCACTTGTCTTTTTTACACAATATCCATAGTCTCATATAGACTTGCTTTTATGTATCATCTGCTAATACTAAAAGTGGACATAAACATAGGCTGTGTAGAAAAACACAAATTTTTCCTCACTGTTTAACAATAAATTAAACTAACCCTTCCATTTTTTTAAGTCAATCAGGATTACCAAAAGTGTATTGCATTTAAATAAAATGATAATTCTTTTGTTTCCTACTTTTTACCGAAGACTCTTGAATAAAAATGTTCACTTCACATTCTAGCTGTAACCTAAAATGATTTGTAGCTTTGTGTGAAAACAAATTCTAATTGGCCTTACCTATTTGCTTGGAAAAGAACTGGAAAAATAAACGATGATGAAAAGACAAGATATTTTTCACTGTGTGCCTTATTGTCATTATGGACTTGCTTAAGTTCACAGACTTAATTGACTACTCATTAGTCACTTCATTTGGCTTCTCCCTCCCTTCATCAGTTCAGTCAGTGGTCACTCCACTGATTCAGCTTCTCCATTTAGTCTAATTTACTTCACTATAAACCTCCTCCCATTTTGAGAAAAGACCCAACCTCGGCTTTTTTTGGTGCCATTTGTCTGTGTGCCAACTGCTGCTCATCCTCACATTTAGCCCGCTTGGAAATGGGCATGATACATTTAAAATTTGGGTACGATGTACTTCCAGTGGCAACGTAATTATATTTAATGCTGTACTGATTTAGAGCTGAGGAGGAAAATAAAAAGAAATGGGAGTTGGATGTGCCTCCTCCCTTTAAAAGATTAAAAGATTTGGACTCTTCTTTTACTGCGTTGCTGTTTGAAACCACGCTGTCAATATTTAATGTCTTTGTCTGCCTCAGATGTGTCTGAATCGTCGGTGCCAGAACGTCAGTGTGTTCAGCGTGCACGAGTGTGCAGCTAAATGCAGCGGTCGAGGGGTAAGTGAGGCACCTTCTCCGTCTTTTTTTAGCTGCTGTGAAAATGTAAAAGCCATTTTAAATGGATCTAAACCCAGTTTTATTTCCCATTTATTCTTCAAATAAATTTAATAACTGCCCATTGTGCATTTATTAAGGAACAAACAGAGCCCCTGGTAATAAATCACTTGAAATGTTGAAAGGTTCAATCAGTTAGTCCTAATGATCTCATTTATGTTCAGCTCTAAGTACCATTCATCATACGCCCAGGCTGTCATTCTTCTCCTAAACTGAGTTTAGAAATGCTTTGACTAAATTTATTTGGAGCAATGCCATGACACAAAGTTTAACTTTAAGGCAGGTGGGAATAGATTTTTGCTACCTTTTTTAATTCCTTGTTTGACAGTGCTCACAATTGTTTCATACACCTTGAATGTTTCACTTTTCAAAGTTGTGGGTTTTTTGTGATAAACCACCAGAAAAGGAACAGGGACACATTCAGAAGTCATAAGTCCTTAAGTAGAAAGACACTGGACATCTTCTATTTGTCTTCTATTCAAAATGTGTATTCAGCTCTGGACATGGTTGAAACTAACAGGAATACAAGCTTTTATTGCAATTATCACACTAACCTATAAGTCCACCTCCCTAGTTAAGGTTGTTTTTTAAATATTTTTCCTGTGTATGCCTTCTTTCCCTCCTTTCTTGATTCATCTGTCTCTGTTTAAAATGTCCTCTCTTCTATTCAATTCAAGGGCGTCTCTTTCCCTTGAGCTGTTTGTTTATTTTACATTCCTTCTTTGTCCTGTCCTGCTGTCCAAGTTCCAAGGAGATGCCCAATTCAATTTAATTCAATTCAAAAGATTGTTTTTTTTTTATCCCAAAGACAAATTAATAA